TTATTTAAATCGATATGTGAAATGAGGTGAGTGTTTCAGAAAAATGACTCTCGCGCGACGGACGCTCTAGAGGTGTGTAGGGCACTACTGCAGAGAAAGCTGAGGACTGGAATAGTACTCCATAAAGCATTCATGTGCATTCGAGTCCTAGAATAGACAGCATGCCATCAACGGACATTCGAATTCTTCGTTGTAACACGATTTATGTACGGCATTGTCGTTGGCGTAGTTCGCAGTCTCATCTTTCTCAGTCTCGCCGCGAATTTACTTTTCGGCCATAAGTAATTGCGTCTCCCTTCCTCGTTAACATGTCGGATCATCGGTATCCTATTTGACGAGAGATCGGAAAACGTCTCTTCGGTCGCGTAGAACGTTCTGGACAGAACGTGTGCGGAAACGAAATCGCATTCTCTCCAATCTCCTGGATCCCGAATATCCTATAAACAAATCGGATTTCGGCTTTCGAGCTTTTCCGATGATGGTCGGGATATGAATAAAAGAGAGCACTCGCGCTTTTACTTTGAACATCGGTAAATACGCGACGCGTATATACGTTCTCCATATATACGTAACAAATCTTTTTGCACCGTCCGTCTAGCTAGCGCTCGCGAGCGCGATAACGCGCGCAAGAACCGGCTACCCGGTGACTTTCGTCGGCTTGGCCGATACGTGCCACACAGATCATAGTTTTTCATCTCATCTCCCCGGCCGAAACTTTACCCGCGACGTATATTACGTACTTCGCGCGAGTACGAAATGCATATCCGCTCCCTCGTCGTCCATTTTCGATTCCGCGCGCCGGGACTCGCCCCGTATTTTTCCTAAGATCACGACGGCGCGGTTTCGCGGAAAATCCGCGAGTGCGACGAGAGGATAGCCGGCAGCCGCGTTTTCTCGCGTGCATAGGGAGTGTCGGCGGTGGCGGAGACAGCGGTGGTGGCGGCGGCGGCGGCGGCCCGCGCAAACGGGGGTGGATGGGACGTCGAGGGGGTTTGCTAACACACCGTGCAACGAATGGAGATCGATTCTGAGTCTGGGTCAGGCGAGGGCGTTCACCCCCCGGTGCAGCCCGGGAGACACGGAATCCAGGATCGTAGCTAGGCTATCGCGCCAGGCGGGGTACTGGCCGGGAGTCAGGGGCCTGGGGGCTGCGAGGGAGGAGGGTGCACCGGCTCGGGACACTCCCTTCTGTTGGGTGCAATGTACGCTCGCTCTCCTCTATGTCCAAAATCGCGGCTCCGGACTGCCGCTGCTCTCGCAGCCCCGCGACGAGTCTCGACTGGTCGCGCGGTGACGCTCTCGCCGTAACCCCCGTCGACTCTTCCGAGTGATTTAACGTGGGTACCTCCTCCAAAAGAGAATTCGGGCCCGATCGAGACTTCCGCACTCGGATGATCATATATCTTTCGTTTATCTGAGACCACCTTCCGTTCAAATTACGTTTCCTCCGGTTAGTGGCGGAGTAAAAGTTTGAATTTCGTTGTCGATTTAATAGATACGATCTGGCGATGGATTGACGGATTGTAATAGATTTTATAACAACAGATTATATAACGATATATGATATGCTTCTTTATGAAACATGATACATGATAATAGATATGATCTCCATCATTATCATGCTGGTCAAATTGCTGGATGTAATAACATTATCAGTGATATATCGTGTGATTTGTGTCTTGTTTAGTAAATCTATAGTTCCTTGCTTGTTACGTAAAGACACGCTATGGTCTGAGAAATTAATTAATTTTTTGCTACTATAACTATTCGGAATAACTGTAACGATATTTCGCGATGTCGTTTAACTTATCTGACTCGATATTCCTTCTTCGATCACAACGCAGTGAGTTACGCGAGTAACCAGTCAAATTTTGTTTATCTGAAGAATCTAAATACCGCGGTGCGTAAACGTATCCTTCGTATCTTCCGCTTTAACCTGGCTACCAGGAGCGAGTCCCAGGACGAGGTGAACGATCGACAGGGTGGTGGTACGTGACCTTTTGCGCGAAGGATAACGGCAGGGACGGGGTGGGGGACGTGGCGGTTTGCACTATGGTAACACGGGGGTGAATGCACGTACTCCAGGGGGCTTATCCTGCAACTTTTCGACGCATGCGTTTCGTATTCCGGAAATTTTCGCAATGCGTGACGTCACTGGTGTCGCGTCGGATTGCGTGCTCTCTCTCTCTCTCTCTCTCTCTCTCTCTCTCTCTCTCTTTAATTTTGCAAAACTGTTTTAATGTAATACATAGTATAATATTATTATAGCAATATAATATTGTATCTTGTTACGTATATATTTTAATATAAAATATACTATGTTAACTTGACTTTATATTATATTATGTTATGCGATTGTGAGAATATATTTGTTTTGTATAATATTGTTTCTACATAAATTGAAATTAATATATATTCTAGATTTGTTTTTCATAGCTGAAATCTAATGTATACTTTTTGTACTTGCTTGAAGTGAAATAGATATTTCAAATTTGAGCTTTTTTGCAAAAACAGAAGAAAAGTTTGAATGCATTTCAGTGTATAAAAAAGAAATTTTTTGTTATTTAATTTCTGGGCTGAGATTTAATAACGCATCTCTAATAACGCATAATAAATAATGCTCTCTCTCTCTCCTCTTCCCCTTCTCTCTCTCTCTCTCTCTCTCTCTCTCTCTCTCTCTCTCTGTTTTCAATAAAAAGCATATTTCGTGGATAATCACGATGCATTAAAATAGCAATTACACTACGTTCATCGTTGTAATATGATCGTTGAGTATGAATCTTGCAGCGAGTTATTATACGTTAACCATAATAGATTATGAACCGAAATCGTTGAGGTCGCGTCGCGGTTTTAGTGGCGTAATGGATTCTGGCTGCATTGATGACTGAGCGCTTGTGGATGCATGCAATCACACATGTACGCATTAATCCACACATGTTACACGTAGAATTGCTTCTATTTTCGCGAGGCAGCTTTCTTGTTGATTTTACAGAAATACGATGCTCTCATGATTAAATCCATACATTTTGTTCTAATTCCCAAAGTCTCGAATGTAGATCTTGGTAGAACGCTGTTTTACCGCCATTAGAACGTCTTCGGGTACCGGCAAACGGAGAAGCAAGTGTAGACACCCTTAGCGAGGGGAGGTTCCGAGAGGTCGTCCCTTGGCGCCTATTCGTATGCAACCAGAATAGCACCGCGTAGGATCGATGCGTGTAATATGTATTGGGTTCTCGGCCTCGTGTTCCTTTGTTTTTATGCTTTGTGTAAATATCGCATAAGAGAAATAAAGTAGTGCTTTGTTGAGAAAAATAAAATCCTCCATAATTTTCTCGGTGAATCGATTTTCCTAAGCAATTTCTGAGGAAATTTAGCCTGTGAATCGAGAAACGGTCGGTAATGCAGTCGGTCGTGGTATTCGATATCCACAGCGGTAAATTCAGTAAAAAATCTAATCTCAAGTTTACGTTTTTATTTCATTATAATGAAATATACAAATAGTGAAAAAATGTTATCTAGCTGACTTCGAAGTATTTTAATTATCCGTTAATGAGCGAGAGAAAGAGACATAAAATCTTTGATGTCAAATATAGGTCGAAGCAAATGAATCCTGGTGAAAATAAAAGTTGGACTGTAAGTTGAAATCGTAAGGAGACAGTAACAGAAGCGTAAACGAAGAAGCTTCTGGATGCGAAAATTGAGACAAAGGTTTACGCTTCTTTTATGTTTTGCTGTCATGTTACCGTAGAACTGTTTCTATTTTCATAAAAGAAACGTAACGTCAAGTAAACGCGTCTTTTACGTTTCGTTGTCTTAATTTTTGTCTCTTAGAAGCTTCGTGTAAGTTTCTATTAGGTACTCTTTCCTTTCTTGTATTTGATTTATACTCCAATTTTTATTTTCGTCAGGTGAGGAGTCGATTGCGATAAAATATAACAATTTTGCTAAAGAATTCATAAAATATATTATTCAATTCAGTGAAATTTTTAATCGTAGTTAAATTGCCGCTGGTGTGTGAGAGAAGATGAGACACCGCGACAAAATGTTATCGCAGATGACACTCTAGCATGACGTGAAAAATTCACTGCGCGTTAATGTTCTCTCAGCAATATTGTGACTAAAATAAGAAACAATATTTCAAAATAACAGGTAATAAAAATGAGTTTTATTATTCAAGAGGCCAATTTTGGATAAATTTAATTTCACTTAACTACACTTATTTTATATTCCAAAATCGCAATTTTATTATTGGCAATGTTAATCGATAAAATTTACATGTCTATAATAAAAACTGTAAATTGAACAAACAATTAATGTATTATAAAGTGAAAAGATTTAATCGATAAATTACATGTATTATGTTGTGTAAATAGAACAGAATAATAATACTAACATAAAAGTATGGAAACAAATTATATAATTATCTTATAAGAATATATGTATATCTTATTTTTAAATTATTATTAAATATAAAAAAAAATAGAAAATATTTTCTTATTTCTGGTAATTTATATGTTAATTCTGTTTTTACCTTTCACAATTTTTATTGAAATTACTTAAAATATTTAAACATATATTAAAATGATGAAACAATGACTGGATAAATTAAACCATTTATTATTTGCTTATCTTCGATGTAGGAGAAAAATTAAGAGTGTCATTGTGCTTTAATTACCTTCAGTGTGTCCCCGAGGGCACAATTCCCATCTAGTAATTAATAGTCATAAAAACTTACCTAGAGGATCAATAGTTTTTAATTAATATTCAGTGATCGCATGTACATATATATGCGTAGTATTTTTATGCTTGATAAGATGGATAATGGAAATAGAGTACTGATTTGACGACTGCAGATGGCGTGAATTTATTCACCGTAGGTATATGAGAGAGAAGCGAGTCATAGCCGTCAGAGTAAGAGGCTTTGTATCAAAGGTTCTTACTTTTCGTTAATGTCGTGTTATTCACTTTTTCAGAGCCTAGAATCAGTTGGAACGCTCTCACGTGTCTTGCAAGATGGAGTTCTCGCGCGATTATCTTAGTTCTGATTTCCTTCATGATCTTCTTCATAAACACAACTTGATGATATTTAGCTTGTATGTTATTATAGGGTTTATTCTTCTGTCAATTGTTATATTCTGCACTCTGTTTGTGTACGAACATTTCTTTTGGGAAAAAAAAATAAAAGACGTCAGGAAGAAGCACGTTGTCGTAAGTGTAATTTAATTTCGAAAAAACATTTTGTTGAAATATAATGATGCAGAATGCGAAATTATATCGAATTGAATATTAAATCTCTCTTAAGTCTCTTGATCTAGTATTTATCTTGTAAATGTAAAATATTGTTTTGCGTAGGTGACCGGTGGCTCCAGCGGTATTGGAAAATGTATGGCGATTCTCGCTGCAAAGAAAGGAGCAAACGTCACGATAATTGCGAGAAATGTGGAGAATTTGGAGAAGGCTAAACATGAAATACTGCAAGCGTGTGAGAACAAAGATACACAAAGGGTAGAGTATCTTCCTTTAGACATTGGAGCAGATTATGAAACCGTCGAGAAAGCACTGGCCGATCTGGAGAATGATATGGGACCTATTTACATGCTTGTAAATTGTGCTGGTCTTGCAATCGCAGGCAAAATAGAAGACACCACCCCAAAGTCTCTGGATATAATGATGCGCACGAATTTCTTAGGTACATATTACTGCATTAAAGCTGTCACGCCAAGAATGAAAGCTTCCAAAGAAGGAGTGATTGTACTTGTGTCATCTCAAGGTGGTCTCCTAGGTATTTGCATAATAAGTTATCTGTACCAATATTTGTTAATTATAGCTTTATACATAAACATTATATAAAACATTTTATATATCATTTATATAACATTTATATAACATTTATATAAAATATTTTACATAATATTATATAAAACAAAAAAATGTATTGCATAGGTATCTTTGGATATACCGCTTACTGCAGCACAAAATTCGCACTTCGTGGCTTGGCAGAGAGTTTAGCAATGGAATTACAGCCGTATAACATTTCTGTCACTTTGTGTTTACCACCGGATACAGACACACCTGGTTATGCCACCGAAGAGCTGTCGAAACCGATAGAAACAAAAGCCATATCACAAATGGCAAATTTAGTGCAGCCCGAGGTCGTTGCAGAGAAGGCTTTCGAGGATGCGCTGGTTAGTGCATGAAAAATAATTCAAAATCGTTTATAAATAATTAGGAAACGTTTATCGTTATATCATCGTTATATATGAAGGATAAATAGACTATTGCAGTAATATCTTACGTTGGCTTTTATGCTCCTTGAATAATGATTTTGACTTGGTCGGAAAGCCGATATTATATAGAATTTAATTAAAAATTGTTTTCCCATGGCTTATTTTATTCAATGATATGTTTCAGGCAAGAAATTTCTTCTCTGCTGTTGGTTTCGAAGGTTTCATTATGACGACGTTGTGTGCGGGAATGTCACCGGTCAAATTGTTTCGCCAGCTGTTTGTACAAGTTCTGCTGATGGGTCCGTTGAGACTTATCGGTATAGTTTACCTCTTCATCTTCCAAAGAATCATTGCACAATGCAAGCAATATACGAATTCTGAAAACATAAAAAAGGTTAAGTGAGAAAAAAGGTTCCTTATAATATTCTGTGATCTATAATTTAAAAAGAAAGATTTCTTATAATATCCTGTGAATTAAAAGATCGATGAGATATTGCTTCCATTCTAAGTTATAGAGCTTATTTAATATGGATTTAATAAATTTTCTTGTTCCATACGTTTGTGTAAAATCGCAAGACTATGTCATGATTTATACTTTCTTTTACTTTTTTAAATAAACAGTAATGATGTTCGTGGGTAATTGATGTGTTATACGATACATATGTGTGTATAATACAATGATGAATACAAGTTGTGTGAAAGGAGATAAATATATATGTAAGACAGATTATTTTACAATGCAGAGAGAGATATATATATATACGTAATGCGATGTACAAAGGAGCGAAAGAAATAAAACACGTTCTTAACGGTTTGGCTTACTTTTATTAGGTATTCCGTAAGTTCATAGTATAATGTTTTTTTTTCTTTTATTAAGCTTTTATGGTTCTTACACACATAGAACGGGACTGCTCTTCGTCCCGTTTCTCGCCACAATAGGTTAAAAACGGAAACGCTGAAACTGGTATGTAAAGAGTACTCTCGTGGACGGGGCTCCGTTCGACGTCGATCGCGTCCGCCCATTTCTGTCTGCCCCGCTGGTAAAAGAATTGAGCTTGTGCTCGAATGCGAATAACGAATAAATTTCTCCCCACACGTCCGTCTAAAATCCAATAAATAGTATCGTGCAGCCGCGATCGGGCGCCGAAAGGGCGTGGTCGCGTCCAGCTTTCGAAAAACGAGACTAAACTTATACGTATAGAAACGGCGGTCAACGAAGATTTGTCTCCCGAAATTACGAGTCCGGTAATGATGGGTTTAACATTGATTTATTATCACGCTTTCACTCCCTCTCTCTTTTTCACATTCTCTCACCCTCTCACGCGCATATTTTAAACTTTCGCACCGCACATCTTCCCACATTCGCACTAATATCTTTCGCTTTCCTCGGCATCATCTCGTAGATTCGTTAAGGTCCATTTTCCTCTCGTTAACCCTAAAGCGCTTTAGGTGTATACAGACGCGAATCCATGAGACGAGGCTTGCCTCGAGGAATATTTCCAGAGTGTCTTGCTGTTTTTATTTTTCTTTTAACTTATGCTTATTTTTTAAATCGATCGTCCGCTTATCCGCGCGCTCGACAAATTTCACATTTCCTTCCTCCTTCCTTGCGGCTTTTTTTTGCCAGCCGTAAATCACCTTCGTCGAACGTTCGAATCGGCAGACGTGTTGCGTTAGTGATTAATTAGACCCCTTACTATAGTGTGATCTGTCGCGTGTCGTCAACGAAACGCCCGTAACGTAGGATCTCGCTTTCAACATTAATAGGACGTTGTCGGACTCGGTCGCTCGCGATGGACTTATCGAACCTCCTTGATTTACGATGTCGATCGCACGCATCTGTCCGACAATATAAATAATTACCCGGGTGTGTATCTCGCTAAAGAGATCGAACGTAATGATCTGTTTCTCGATAATATAATTCGCGACGATTCGTCGATCCTCTCGAGTCGTTCGGGAGCTTTATAACGCTCGCGTGCAACAATCGCGTGATTGCACGGTGCATTTCTCGCGAATGTCATCGGTGATCCGCGTACGTTAACGAGGTATACGCCGTCCCGAGGATGCCGATCGACGACAAATGGCTTTTCCAATTCGTTCTTCTAACCCTCCACAATCGAGAAAAAAAGGTAACGTGCGGACGATCATTATCAGGGTATCGTCGAGATAGGAAATTTGTTACATACGTGACGGGTCGTTTTGCTATCTCAATATAGAATAAGGATGGTGGAGGGTTAAAATTACAACAGTCATATACATTTTCCGCGCGTATTTTACAATCTTTCATTTTACAATCTTCGACATCTAGTTTCTTGTCTAAAAAGTTCTCCGATAACATTCTGCTTGCTGCTCGTCTCGAAATCCTTTTACGGTGACCTGTCCTCAATCTCTCTCATTCTTTTTCTCTCTCTTTCACACACACATACAGAGCTGCGTAATCGATTTCCGGAATGTTCTCCCGTTTTCACAAAGAATTTTTCGAGACCGTTCGACGGCGCGGCAACGCGGATGGATCACGTCGGAATTGGAATCTCCGATTCGATAGAGATCTATTTCTGGGTCACCGCGTCCAACTCATCTTTCATCCTTCCGACGACGACGACGACGACGACGGCATCGGTGTCGTATCGCTCGTACCTCTTAGATATAGCCTATTATCTCGGAAAGAACACCTAACTTGTGTTATCTACGCGTAAGAGCACATCGTACTGTCAGGACGGTCACAAGCATCACTCTCGAAATAAGGTGTCCATCTAGAGGGTTGCCGAATCCAAAAGTTTAAATTACTGGATATTTCTTCTTTAGAATCGAAATCTAAACGAACAAAAATAAATTAAATATAAAATTTAATAAAAAACTACTTACAATATTGTTTTCTGAACTATTTTAAAAATAAAGTTTGATTGAATAAGATAATAAATTATTATATTTAATATAAATTATTATTGAACACAAAATTAAACTGTGTTTTGCATATATCACATTTAACATTCGTTATAAATATTTTATATTAAAAAACATTTAACGTATTTAACAAGTTGAAATAAAAAACGTTTAATATTTGTTATAATAAAAATATCTAAGCAAAAAGGAATAAAATCTGCGATATAATTCTGGTATTGACGCTTAAAATCGTCGCTAAAAACCGCCCGATCTGGTTATAAATCTTGCATGATATAAATTGATTTTATTAATAGGATATATTTCAATAATTACGTTCGGTTTGACTTGTCAACCGACCATCGAACAAGAATCTCTTAAAATCCTGATAGCCCAGGTGAAAACCGTTAACAATCTTCTAACGTCTACACCTCGGGATTCGTAATCGCTCTCGGGAATCGGCACGCGTTCTTACGTTCGGCGCGGATCGCTCATTATATTAATCAAACAGTTTCTTAAAAACTCCCGCATCGCGATTAGTAATCATATCGTTCTCGCGCTCTACTTCACGGGTTTGCTTTATGAAACGTGAAGCAGTGACACGCAAGAAATTGATTTAGTCGAGCATGCGAAATATGCGAGGAAGAAATGTGTACGATCGCATTGACGATCTGGGAGTTTTAATTAACTTAACAATTGAAGAATTTACGAGAGGGTATTTTTAGGAAATTTCATTCGCTCCCTCGATGTGTGTGTGTTTCGCGAAAAAGAAAAACCTAGGAACAAATACAGTAAGTCCGCGATCGGCAACGTCGAACGGAAACGGAAAATGAAGTGACGCGACATTTAAGGACTACAAGATAGATTTTGGTACAAAAATTTAATGCTGTTCTACGACGTTATAATTAGATCATAAGACGACGTTTCTTGACTGAGTTTTTCGCCGTCTCTCTCTCTCTCTCTCTCCCCCCCCCTCTCTCTCCTGCTATCTTCTCTTTAAATTACTTCTTCCTCGCTTTGAAGCAAAAGGGCGACGGGGACGAACGCAGTGGTTCCTTCTTCCACCCCGCGAGGGGGAGGCCCGCGTTGAAGAAGAGAGAAAAGGGTAATAAAGTTTAACCGCGGCCTCACAGAGGACTGTTTTCAGTCCTTTTCTTCGTTACCTTAGAAGCGGCCCCGCGAGGCGCGGGAAGAAGGAAAAGGCGGAGACGATATAAAGAAGGTAACTACGTCCCCGATCGACCCTTTTTTTTAATCTTAAAATGTGTCATTCGACCAACGTCTCAGTACGCGTCAGTCCAACGAACTTTTCTCTGTATATCATTGTGTATGTATGTGTGTGTGTGTTTGTCTGTATGTCATATGTCGTGTGTGGTTTTTTTTTAATCTTAAAATGTGTCATTCGACCAACGTCTCAGTACGCGTCAGTCCAACGAACTTCTCTCTGTATATCATTGTGTATGTATGTGTGTGTGTGTTTGTATGTCATATGTCGTGTGTGGCTTATATTTTCTCTCTCTCTCTCTCTCTCTCATTCCCTTTCGCGCCGTTCTCAGCGTCTCTCTCCCGTCGCTTACTCGCGCAAAAACAGGCTCACACGGTTTAAAGCACCAACCGTACCGCTCGCACTCGCGGTCACGTCAACACGCACGCACGCACACAGCCGCTCGCGCATTCGCCTCGCCTGGCTATTATGTCCGACGATATATCTGCATTTATATCCGTTAGTTCGCTTACCGCTAGGCGTTAATTAGTGTTACATCTAGTCGCGTGTGTGGCCGGCCCGTGCTATCCACGAGCGCGCTCATCACGGGGGAAACGTGCGCGCTCCGCTTCTCGTTCCCAAACACTCGGAGTACGGACACTTCGGACACTTCGGACACACCACGGCGCGCCACGGAAAAGCGTGCACCGCCTGGCGTGTTGTCCGCCTCCCCGGCCCTCCTCGTGGCGCGTCTTCACGCCGATCTTCCACGATAAGCCCGGAAGCGCGCGGCTAAATGCGCGACGGGCGTTAAGAATCTCTCTACTCCTTCGATTATACATCCGGACGACGCGACGCCGTGTGAGGCGAGTTATCCCCGCGATAAAATGTTCATCGAAACGGAAATTTCGTCAGACGATTTCGATTTCTGGGAACATCGTGTATATGTACGTGTGCGCGGCGTCTCTTTCTTGTCGGTAATGGGCTTTCTACAATAAGCCTTCTGCAATAAGCCATTATCTAAGCTTTAAACCCCCCAAAGCTGTAAAAAATCGAACCAATCACAGTCGATTATATTTTTCTCCCATTCGATTGTGATCGGTCAATTTCCTACGGCTTAAGACTTCAAGTCTAGGTGGTTAAATGGCTTATTGTAGGTGGCTCATAAGAAATTCCTCTTGCCTCCCGATACCGTGCATGATTCCCGAGCCGGTTAGCACGGGCGGCCAGACTTATTTCCAATGCGCGTTTTACGATCCGAAAAATTACACAGTAACGTTATTTAGTTTATTTTTTTCTTGTTTCTTTAGCGTAACACGTACGGCATATCATTAATTAACGTTACGTTATTTATACGCTATGTTACGTTATTTACAATCACATGAATCGTAGATATTCTAACGAATCGTTCGTCTCCTGCCGCTGTCCTCGTGTTTTTTACGGTATATTTTCTTCTCTCCCTTTCTCTCTCTCTCTCTCTCTCTCTCTCTCTCTCTCTGTCTCTCTTTCTCTCTCCCTTTCTCCTTCCTTCGCCTCTTCCTCATTAGATATTTCTCAAGCATTTCCTCAAGAATTTTCTCAACGAGAACGTACGCTCTAGTCACTTTATATGCGCCCCTCGTTCGAGCGAGCTGAAACTTGTTCAATATTCAACACCCATGTGCAACGTATTTGCGCGCGTACACATATACATATATATATTTCTGTTCGTTTGTATATATATATTTATATATATATTTATATATAATAAAATAAAAAACAGTATTCCCTCCCCTCCTCTCTAGTATTTGTGAGAAGAAAGCAAATTCGCGGGAGGCGCGCGAGGCGCCCACCGGAAAGCCGTACGCTCATCCGCTAAATTATACAACCGATCATGCTCAGAGGCGACACGCCGCGGGCCAAAGAACCGCTATGAAAATATGCGTTATCAAAATGTATTTGTCGAAAGTACTCGCCTATTGCTATGATGAGACGTTTGACGACTCGTACAAGAGAAAGAAATTCATCGAAGGCGGATTTGAATATGCGATTTAGAATACGCGTGAAATTGTCGTGTCACCCTACGTAATAATACGTTTATGTAAATTTTATATAAAACAAATGTCTCCTTTCCTTTAACGTCGTCCAACGTGAATAAACGTGTAATATAGAAAAGGTTGTGATATATTTGGGAGGACCTCCCAAGGATTAAAAAGAGACTTTATCGGCAGTATTTAATTTTTTTTTTTTTGAGCGTATCGGCAGTATTTCATTTTTCTATTCTTCGTTCCTAAAGGGAAAATCTTCGATTTTCTATAAAAAAAAAAACGCGATATTTCCGAAGTCGCGAGACGACGCGTAAAGGAGCAGTCAGTGGAAAATGCGGCAGTCTGTACGGCCCGCGTCGCGGTAAGTTTAGCCTGTGCATGTACGGACGTATGATATATTTTGATCAACGTGTGTATACTCAATGCGCTTTAATTACCAAAATTTTCATCGCGGATCGTCTCGAGACACCTGTCGCCTTTGACAACGGTCAAGTATTTATAGAGGCAATGATAATTTCCAACATGATACCCCCGTTTTATCTCACTCGCGCGATCGATGAGCCCGGATAAAAATTCTCTCTCTGTATAAATTTAATAATTTATTCCAACTACTCGTTTTAAATTTGGCTGGAAATATCAGAAATATCGTGGCTGGGAGATTTGATATGGGCAAAACTTTGTCGTGTGTTTGATATGAATTCTTTACCTCGAGTACTAGCGTCATGTTATTAATAGCAATAACATTTTTATTTCTTAATAGGGTCACTTTGATCCTTGTTCCTTTCCCCATCTTGTCAAGCCTGCTTTTTCATACGATCCTGGAATAGTCTCTCCGACAGATAAATTTGAAAGAAGATTCTATTTTATTTTCGGCGCGCGTATCGACAAATCGTCTATGAGACGATGGCCGAGATCGCTCGGTCTCAGGACGATCCCAGATCACGCGGTAGACGTCAAGTATAGACACGCTTTGTTGTAATCGGTCGCTATCGAATATAATTAATTATATCGCATTTCGAAAATTCATCGAACAAGTTTCAATTCTATTCGAGTGGCGCGGACGAAGTTTTTCTGCTTTTTCCCCAGTCTCGTGACGGTTCTTCCTCTACGTCGACGCTCATCGATGTTTCTCTTTCGCTCGTTTTCTTTCTTGCCCTCTCCTCTCTCCTCTCTACCATCGTTTCTCTTCCTTCTATAAATTTCTCGTCACGTTATCGCTTTCTTGTTCCTGTAATGGGTGCTACGAAACCACCCAACGCCCTCGCGATAAGATCTCGCGATCGTGATCGTTTTTCGGGCGTTCATTTTTTCAGATTTCGTAACTTTCTACCTTGTCGGGCTAAACAAACGGGAAATACGTGAAACAATTCTACAAATGTAAAAATGCGTCTTTAAAAAAACAAAATAAACTCAATAATATCTTGTTATAATAATTCGGCAACGATAATAAGAACATAATAACGTTATTTTATTTGGATAAAATTTCTAATGGGCATGACTAAGTAAATAGATTGTAATAAGTTTGAATAAATAAAATGATCAGCTCTCGCCTCGGATTTTCAATTGAAAGTTTTCAAGACGTTCACGAACTACCCGTTGTTCAAGCTCGACCTAATTTATATTTCCGACAACGTCAAAAATTTCGTAGCTTCTCCAGCACGTATAGCTTCTCGCAGCAATTTAACAAGAATTCATATAATAAACTAATTCCTAATTTCTAACGGCCGGATCACTGTCTCGATAATCGAGATGAACCTCTAACTCTTACTTCACGCGTACGGAGAAAAAACATACTACCTCTCTCCGGGATCATTATTCTTTCCTCCGATCTTTCTCTTTCTCTTTATCTCGTATATTACCCTCTATCTTCCTAATCCTTTCATCCTCGCCCTTTTTGTCCTTGATCTCTGAAAATCGGTCCGCAACATCGAGGATCTCTTTTCTCGAGGTAGCCGGGGTCTCGTAGCAGGAGATAATCGATTATACGCGTATACCATCCTTGCGGTCTTGCCTGATTATCGTTCCGTCGCAATGTAAGATGGATTTTTCGAGTAGAGAACCATAAGGATCAGAAGAACGAGGACGAATAGACGACTGCCGTGACTCGAGTACAGTGTCACCACTCCTGCCAGCCACCATAGAGTGGGACAGCCACCTGGTGCTGAACTGATGCCCCTCTGTATAGCCGCGGGGTGTTCCCCTAGAAAAATCATCGAATACATGTATACTTATGTATCTAATAAAATAACGATAAACGAGATTAGACACGTTGCAACGAAGACTGTAATCTCGTATCCGTATCGTATTTATTATCGCTATATAATTGTTATTATCAAGTACTTTTTTTGTAAAAGTTCATGTTATTGTTACATGAGTTAATTATCAAGGCTTTTTTTAAAAGTCTGTGTGAAAAAAGTATCTCGTAAACAGTGAATCATATGTAACACAAAAGTTTACGTTCAGGGAAAGAGAAAAGTTGAAACACTGTTGCCCAGCGTTTTAATTTTTTTTACAAACTTTTGTCCCAAAGCGATAAAATGTTGCACTCACCGTTTAGCACATGCAGCTGCACACTCGCGCTATCCAAGTTACTCGGGCTGCAAGTATAGTTACCCGAGTCCTCCCCTCTCGCGTTGTGGATCACTAGGCTGCTCACCGTATCCTGCTCGATCCTCTTCGTCTGAATGTCGATCTTGCCCAGCTGATAATTTAGAACGCGATCGCCCTCGTGGTACCAGAAGACGTAGAACGGGCCCTCGAGGGACTGCTTTATTACGCATCGTATTGCGACTGTACTTCCGGTTTTCACGTACATGTCACGGTCCCCCAAGATCTCGATCTTTGGCACTGTAACGATATATGATTGGCTTAATATACTCTCTAAAATTTTTAGACTGAATCTCACTCTGAAGAGTGAAATCTCATTCTTAAAGATTGCAAATTGAATCACTCTTTTTCAAGACTGGCTCAATTTTTATTCTTTAGAGTGAGACCTCAATGAGTACAATGTCTAAAATCGACGCATTTTACAACTTTAACATATCTTTTAAAAAAAAAGTTCTTTACGAAATATCTCAAAGATGTTTCTTAATGAACTTTTAAAGATATCTTAAAATTGTTTTATCCGATTTCTATTCGTAGACTTTTCGTAGATATTCTACTCTCTAAATCTTTGAAAATTAAGCCAGTCTTAAAAAAGAAAGAATGGAAATGTTTCATTCTTGAACAAGAGTGAAAGATTTTCATTCTTTTAGAGTAAGATTCCATTCTTTTGGAGTGAGATTCGTTCCAAGGAATGGAATTTCACTCTTTTTTTTCAGACTTCATTCCACTCCTGTTTAAAAGTAAAAATATTTTCACTCTTTTTTCAAGACTGGCTCAATTTTCGGTCTTTTGGAGTAAGATTTCATCACTCCAAAGGATATTTAGAGAGTACTCATTAAAATTCCATTCTCAAAAATTTCGAGAGTAATCGCCTTCCGCACAACGCTCACCGACGATGTTGAGCTTGATGATGTGACTCTTCTTCGGGTCGGTCGAGATTTGGCACTCGTACTCGCCTTCGTCGCGCGCTTGGACGTATTTCACCTGCAGCGTCCACGTGTCCGCCTCCCCGAAAATCGCTTGGAACCTTTCGTCCGGAATGAACATGGTTCTATCCACCGAGAGGATATGCGAGTCTCTTCTTCTGATCCAGGAGACCTTCGGATTAACCAGAGTGAATTGTTTCTGTTCGTCTTAAACGATTCATTAAATTCTCCTCACACATGAGATCTTTTTACAGTCCCTTACACGTAGTCGTCGGTTTTAAATTTTATTAATTTGCATAGAGATTCATCGACCCCATTTCCTGTCTATTCCTATGACAACGCTTCTAGAAATTTCCTTCTTAATATATCTGAGAGATTTATCCTTCGCCATTTACCGTCCCTTTTAATCGCGTTAGCTTGATGTCAGAATCACCGGGATTATCGCCATTATTCGCAACTGGGCGGATAGAGACTCGAGAAAGAGACAGATGAAATTGAGGGGTGTAAAAAAAGAAAGTTCTGTCAAGTATAAGAAACAGAAGAGAGATACGGTGATGGAAAAAAAAAAACAGCAGGAAAAAAGTAAGAATGAGAACATTCGATTCGTTCCGATTCCGGGGACGATCAATCTTCCATTCCCGTCGCAGTTAATTTATCGTTCATCGACCGGACGGCTTGCGCGCGCCCGACGGAAATCTAGATGGTGCCGCGAACCACGTTACTGCGTCGAAAGAAGGCGAGGTACGAATACATTTAATTCGCCAGTCGATAAGAATCGAGGCGGCGGCGGCGGCGACGGCGGTTGCGGGACTCTCAAGTACGCGCGGGTCGCGTGTTACTGGATACTTAGTCCTCGTCCACGTGCCAACGGCGACAGACGGATATTCCGTACAATCCAGGGTACGACGAGTACGCCCGTGTACACCTTGGTAAAGTTCGTTAACGAAAGACATGGGGGCTGCCTTCGAGACTCGCGCGTGCCGACGGTAATTTTATTACGCGCCCGACGACGGTAGACATTCCGCAAACTCACCCCTTCGCTGCGCACCGGTTACCGATTTCACGAGTGGGGAGGCAGAGAAAAGATCTGTTCGCGTTGCTTGAAATCCCCCAAAATTTTTGCACTTAAAAGGAGATCGATAGCCGATCAACTAACTCATAGTCTTATATTTAAGACCGTCTTAAGTACAGTCTTAAGATGTCACGAATCAATTCGAAACCGGTACTCATAGTCAGTTCTTATATTCAAGATCGTCTTAAGTTCAGCCTTGAGGTGTCACGAACTAATCAGAGGGTCGCATTAGCGTCTTAAGACATTACTTAAAACGGTCTTAAAATAAGAGCGGACTATGAATACCGGTCAATATGTGTTTTGACGTTAAAGAGAGAGAAAGAAGATGTTGAGTGTAAAAAATACAAGCAACGCGAATAGACTTATTGAAAGAAAGCGGAATAAACCGCGAATCATTAGCAGATTGGCGTTTTATTAACGGGATGAATTGATTCGATAAAAGGGAATGCCGATCGTGGAGGACGATTTAACAGCTCGTGACACGTGGGTGGACTATCTGTCGCCGACAGTTATCCGACATGGAGGAAATAGAACGCGATAACGATTGAAATATATTAGTTACGACCTTTTATTATCTGTGAACTTTTGATAGAAATAATCGCTGTCCAAGGTCGGCGATTTTCCCAGGACATTAGTGAAACGAATGATTGATAACGGACATAACTCCGGACGTCGCTTTGATGCGTTGATCGTAATCCGGTAGTTCGTCGTTAATAATAAAATAACGCCGAATGGACGCATGCGTGTAGATTAACTTGTCGCGTGTGAATAACGGAATAATATACTGCGAAAGAAATCTAGTAATAGCTATGAATTGTATTTTGTGTGTATTGGCGCAATATTTAATGAGTATTATTAAACGTAATAATAGTAATCATTTGATAATAATTATTAAATATTTATAAAAATAAAATAATTAACGATTAGTTGGTACAATTAAATAATTTAGGTACTAAAAACCAAATTATTTAATAATATTAATCGAATGTGTGATAATTATGGTCAAATTATATACGAAGATTTATTAATTGATTTGATAATAGTTATCAGATTATTTGAAGCAAACAAGCGCCTAAAATATTTTATAAATACCGTCAGAATATTCCTGAACTGTCTTACACTTAAATTAATAGTATCGTTTCTCATGTAAAATTTAGTTGAGCTTTTTATACAGCCAAGTTTATATAACTGAAGCTCGGACAAGTAGTCATCTATATAAATGCTAACATTGTAAGTCTATCCTTTTCAACTGAACTTCATTTTTCCTCTTTTTCTTTTCACGTTAGAAAGAAAAGAAAAAAGGTAAACTATGCAAAAGTTCAGCTAAAAAAAACATACCTTATGTCGTTTTCTCTGAGTGTAATTAGCAAATTGTTAATAATTTTGAACGAAATAAATTCGAACGAGATAATTATTATCAAATCATACAATAATTATGACCTAACAATTTAGTTATATTCATTAAATCAAATAACTAAAAAACCAATTATTTAATATTTATGATAAATTTAGTAATACCTACCATATTATTATTCAGTATTTATTAGTAAGTAAGCAATTTAACTACATTTGCCAATTCGTTTGATTATATTTATCTATACGATTTGGTAATAATCATCTAGCTTTATAAACAATTTCTAAATTTCAGTTAAACTATTTAGTAATAGTCATTAAATATCTCGATTATATTAACCAAATATTTAATTAAAACACTTTAGTAACTATCACTATCATAACTGACAAGAGGAGGCCACGATGCGTTGTGGGTCACCGATTTTGATGCGTTTTGACACGGATCTTCTTCCTCAAAAATAAACAGACCCATGTCGAGCCGTTTGTCTAGATACCCCCTCGGTTTCGAAAAAATCGAGGTCAAAGGTCATAGCGTCGGATCCATCTCGGACCAGTGGGGATCTATAGATCTTCAAAAACTAATTAATTTTTAATAACATATTTGAGGGTCGCAAACCTATACTTTTCGAATTATTAACGATTATATGTTTGTGTGGTATTAAATGCGTGGTATTTATTTAATTCTTCAGTATATACAATTTAGGAAATACACAGGAATATCACTATATATTTAGGAAATACATTTATATATTTTATTGTTTATTTTAAAATACATAAATCTTGTTTTAATAATTACAAATAAAATGTAATGTATAATGTATTTAATGTTTCCAATAGAACTGTTTACAATTAATGGAATTAACTGCTACAAAATAATCTTGTTTTGTTTACAACATTTTGTACAATTACATGATAAGTTTCACTCTCACATACGTTCGGGTGAAACTTATCATAGAAACATGTGAAGCACAATACCGTTTGGCACCATGTACAACATATGAAGAATATTTCACCGCATTCACATTTTTTCTGCAACTGTGACTGTGGGAAGCAAATTTGATTTACATTGCTAAAGACGCGCCTATCGGGAATTAATTTTGATGCATATCACGCGTACAGGAATATATCCTGGAAAATCGGTGCAAATATCTGATTATGAATCAAGGCGTGGATTTTAAGTGCATCTGTTCGATCATGTAATTCTTTATTTCTACGCAAAGAATTCAAATTATTTTGAATTTTGGCGATGAAATTCTTTACTTGCCGAAAAAAGTATACATCACACGGCTGGCAAAGGGGAGTACATTTCGGTGGTATTACTTTAATGGTACAAGTCGGTTGATTCTGATTGTCCACGAATGATAAGTCGTACTGCGTCATATCAGTTTGGCCCTTTGACCCCGATTTTTTGGAAACCGAGGGAGTATCTAGACAAACGGCTCGACATGGGTCTGTTTATTTTCGAGGAAGAAGATCTGTGGCAAAGCGCATCGAAATCGGTGACCCATACATCGTGACCTCCCCTTGTGAGCTAAATTATGATAACTAATTTTTCTTTTCAGTATATTCAGGAGAGATTGAAAACGAGGAAATTATCTCCTCGACTTAGTTTTAACAATTTTTCCTTGCATTTTTTAAGCGTTGTCATTATATCAAATGGAGATATATAAATTGGATATATCAATTGTTGTAATTGTCACGCAGGAATTTGGCCATTATTATGTTATTTGACAAATATACTCGTTTATAAATCAAATTGTAATCAATACACGTAACGCGTAAGGCAACTTCTATCAAAGATGCTAGAGACTATGACAAGAATAAATTAGATTAAACCGACAGCGCGATGACAGTCGTATTGATATATATGAAATTACAACATCCTTACTCGAGGATTAATTATAATATAAGATATAAAAATTGCCGTGAGCGTCTCACGTAATTAAGATTAATTTTTTTTTCCGTGTTTATATTCGCTCATTCACCGAGAAAAGAGCTTCTCTTCATTTTTGGCGCTCACGGCTCTTTTTATGCCGAAACTTTGTTATTAGATTTGTTTTTTGCGGCCGAACTAGTGTACACTTTTGGAACTTAGTGAGATAGGTATATATTTGATATTTGGCGAAAGAGCAAGAAAGAGAATTCTAGTGTATAACCTACACGGAGAAAATTTTATATTAAGTTTTAACACAATTTCAAATTACACTTTATTATGTCTAGTATTTCCGATGGACCGTCACAACATGATTCCGACATAACTTTTACTATGGTAATACTAATTTTATCACATAATTATAATAAATAAAATTATTATTTTGTTAAACCAGTGCTTAAGCCATATTCTAACATGAAAACTGTTAATTTTTACTATGGTACGCAAACAAAATTTGCTAGGTATATATTTTTTACTTATCTTTACAATACTAATTTTTATTCAACAAGTTGTGATTTTGTAATAAAAAATTTTTACTATGAAAAAAAGTATAAAAATTACGTTGCTTTAAAAAAAATAACTATAGCATTTAAACTTACAATTTACATGATGTCCGCAGCTACTACCACATTATAGTAATTTTAAATATAAAATTTTCTCCGTGTAGCAGGAATAAAAACAGACTTATTTTAAGCTGAACAACAAGTCATTATAGTATCAAAATGATGTCAAAATGACTCCAAAATGATCATTAAAAGTCATTTCTTAATCATTTCCGATTCGTTTTAATATCATTTTGACGTTATCGTGACTTGTTGTTCTGCATGGGATTATATGATATCAAATAACTTACTGATTTGTTACCAAGCTGCCGCACTTTGCACGGTAGGTAAGCATGAGTGCCCAACTGCGCCGTGATATTCGTTGGAGTGTTCGAGTCGAAGTAAGGCCCCGTGTAAATCCCGTCGAATCTCTTCACCAGCGAATGAGATCTCGTACTTACCCCTGAAAGAACGTGTTCAGAAAAATGTCTCGCGTGTGTCACGGTGGTGCCGGTTTACATGCGATCACGGAGACGGAGGGAAAAAAAGCGCAATGCGGAGAATATACGGAAATGTATATTCTTTTGCTAAAATACAATACGTCGCGAACGCGTGAAATGTCCGAATTATCGCGATGACGCGTCTTTAAAACTCGTCCTTTATAACTCACCTAGCGTCGCCGCATCGTCGGCACATTATGCGGCGAATTAACATGGAGGTAGCGATGTTAGCCGTCGCAATGGAATAATAAGGCGAACCAGATCTCGGAGAAGGGACTATTTCGCATTCGTGTGCTGCATTCGCTCGCTCGCTAGCGACGCTATTCGGAATAAATCCTATCGTGGAGTAGACCTCACCAAGGTACCGCGCCATGCCCGGGGGAAATGGATACTAATCTCGGGGATTTCGATCTGGGAAATCTAAAGGCGGATCAGCATTCAAGGGGAAAGAGGGAAAGAGCAACGTGGGCTTCGTTCCAACGACCTTGACGATATCACATCCGATCTTAAGGTTCGATCGGTAGAGCATGAAATCCCACGGATGCTCATCCGGATTTGCACAGCGCAGTTGTCGTGGCCATAATTTGAGGAATACTCGCCGCGCCACCACAGCTTTAAGTGCGAAGAGTGAAAACCTCAATTAGGACAAAGGAATATTTTATGTATAGAGGGGTCAGACTGAAACGTTTAAGATGCTAATTAATAAATTGCTCCGAGATGTTTTCCCCGCTCGGGGTACATTTTATGGCCGTTGCTTTATCCTACTTCTATATCTTTCACTTTGATCTGTTGACTAAATGCGACTAATTATTTTGCTAATTAGCAGAATCGTGTTTATAGCTAATGCTGTTAATTCCGCGAAGGCGTCCGAGCAAGAAGCGAGCATATGTCGTTGTGCTATCAAGATTCGCCGAAACTTTGACAAACGACAAAGCTGGTGATAATTACGCTTAATTAAGATCAGCAGTATGATAAACGCGCGACGAGATAAGGAGTAAATATGAAATCGCCTGTACAGGCAAACCTCACTCCACACGGTACGGCTTTATCGCGCATCGATTGTTCTACTTATGCGCATGAAAATCACAGCCGCTGCAACGGCGCTAATTATTATTTCAATCAAACTAAATGCGAAGTAATGAATCAAAAATTTAATCTCGATGACTAATCGACGAGCTAAAGTAAACAATGGTGGCGAGGATTTTTATCGATCAATTTTTTATTCGATTTCAAGAGAGAATAAAAAAAACCTTCCGTTTTCTTTCCGAGCAAAAATTCAACCAAAGGGATCGCAAAATCAAGTTCTGAAGTGAAATCTTTTTCAGATTTCTACTTGTTTTTATCGCAACGATCCGTGTAACGTTCGAAAGGCGATTGGTGATTTCGATCATCATTCGCGATTAAAACCGCCGCGATAAAAACGTCTTCCTCTATCCCAGATTCGAAATTACATCGTCCCAGAAAGGTCGCAACTGCATCCCCGTGATTCCGTAGCCGACAAATCCATCCGGCCGACACGTTTCCGCGCGAACCGAGAGAGGTAGATTGGCAATCAGTGCGCGGCTACGAGTGGTGTATTGTCAAATGTGCCGGAGATACGAATTCGTGTCTGGGGGCTCTGCTACCGAGTACCGGTCCTTCTCCAGTACACAGTCGATCCTCTTGATCTTGAGGGACGTGAAATCTGCGCAGCTGCGCGCACGCGCCCCTGTCGCTCGCCGCGAGATCGTACCCTCGCCACCGAGTTTGGGATCATTTGCCTACCACGAAAGGAGGCACAAATAGGCGCTCGCTAGATGCTGCCTACGCCGCCCCAAACCTATTTTTCACGTCGACGTGCGGCGAGTTGCGCAAAGGTCGCGCGATCTCGTTCCTCAGGGGTGCGTAATACAGTCGCATTTATCTCGAGATTAAATCAAGCAAAGAAGCACTCGAGCGAAAGAGGGAGAGTTGACATGTTTTATCGCGGCGAGACATACGTCGACGTGAAGCATGTAATTTCGCAATGTAACGCACCAGGGTTTAAGCTCATTGATGGATAGCTGAAAGAGCTTAGGTTTATCGCGGTAGGCGCTGGACATAAATACGAGGGACGACCTGGCGTCTGCATTATTCATGTCGACGTTTTGTAAGTCGGTTTGCGCCGCTCCCATAACTCCCGAGGGATGCGTGGAAATCACGTTCGTCCACGGAGATTCCGATAAAAGCCGAACGGCGACACGATATTCTCGGTTGGATATTATTTAAGAGGGCGTTGAAGAGGAAATAGACCGAAGGTATAAAAAGATACGAAGGGGAGAATGAAGTAGAATCGTTTCGATCATCATTTCTATCGAGGCACGATTTTGCGGCCCTCTGAATAAAAAGAGTGTCATGACCGTTTTTGACCGTAGCGGGTTTGAACCAACCCAAGTTGGATCAATGACGTTATACGCTCTATCAATCCAATCCATTTCGGGGTCAAACCCGCTACGATCGAAAACGTTAGAGTAAAACAATAGGAGTGGTATCTTCCGAGAGTGTCTGCCAAGGTATGAAAACTATTATAAAAATCTGAGAAAGTATAGCTTTATAAATCTATTCCGCTTCACGCAGCAATAAGTTGCGATAAGGTGTCTCCCTGCCGCGTAATCGAGCGTGATGGGACGTGATCGCGGGTGGCTGGAGGGAGCACGGAAGAAGTAAATTTCTCGGAAACAGAAGGCGGATCTAAAATCGTATATTTCCCGAGAGACAATGCCGTCCGATGTATGGAGGAGACTCAAGCCGCGTCCGGCAGGGCTGCTGTTTCCTTTCCCACTTTGTCAGAACAACACGTACGCATGCCCGTGCAGTTTTACGACGTCATCGTGTGCTAAACTACCACATAAATCCCAGTTTTTTTAGCTTCCGAAGGATTATTTCTCACCGACGTGATATGATTTTATAATAATTCCCATACGACACACACACGGACTTACATCGAAATAGAATCACGGATCTGCGAGGTCGCTCCGATTCTTTTTCCCTACGATAAGATTTAAAGACGTGAAAAGACATGAAACACACGTGCGATAATCTTTTCCGTTCTACGCTTAATTTAGTTTCGTATACCGATATAAAGTCTACTACTGAGAATTAACTAGAAAGCGTCAGTTCATTTGATTAGTTTCTGACAGATGCAATTTCCCGAACACTTTCAGCGAAGCCTGCGAACTCGTTGAAGTTGCATCACGGTCTGCAGATTTATTTTATGTGTGGAGAAATCTTCATAAGTGCTACGAGAGCGCGATTTCGCGTAAGGAGCTGTAACATCTCTCAAGGCAGTAGTTACGCCCCGAGTTGCGCCAGCCGCGTTGATAGGCACGTCGAACTTCTCCGTTTCTCGGGGAACGAACGGTTAATCACCTTGGCGAAGTATAATCAGCGGTTGTGTAGCGCACTCCACCACTGCACGCGTTTGTGCGCGACTAGCTACTATACGGATCGAAAGTGCATAATGTATCGGCGAGAGTGATGTCGGG